GAGGGCATCAGCTTGTGAGTCAGCATCAGCTCTCTGTGGTCACGCCTCGGCAACAGTTGCCAGCCTACGAGAGCGGACAATTCCCAGGACAGACACTTTTGCCTCTGGGCAAGCTGGGCCATGCGCCGCATTACCACCTGCCTCCTTCGGGCTACGGGCCGGCAAGCGCGGGTCCGGCATACTCGAGCCCGCCCGGACTGGGCGCTTCTGGCGGCGGGTATGCGCAATCCTCCTGCGAACTGGCTGCCTCTTTGCCGCTGCGCTCGCGCAATCTCAGCTCCCCGGGCGCCACCATGTCGGCGGTGACGGCTGCTTCTGTCGCTGCAGCTGGACTCCGCTTTCCCGCCTATCCGCAGGGCCGAGTGGAGGAGGCGGAAGAGGAAGAGGAGGCGGCGGAGGCGGCGCTCTCGACCGGCGGGTGTCCCGGAGAGATGGGAGAAGCCGCTCTTCCGCGCCGCTCCGGCGAGTCGGCCGTGCACTCCTACGCCGAGCTCAGCCCCGGCCTCGGGCCGATCGACTTCCTCGGCCTGGCCGGCTCACCCAGCCGCCAGCTCTGTCTCCTTCAGACCCCAATCGCCTACCCTCCGACCGCCCATCTTCCGCTGCCCGGTCATTCTGGGCCGCACACGCCGTGCGCGCCCGCTGGCCAGCCGCACCTGCATCAGTCACACCAGCATCCGCTGAGTTTGGCCGCCTCGTCGGCCAGCTCGAGTTCCGCCATCTCCGGCCCCCTCGGCGCCCTCACGCCCTCCCTCGGCACAACACCGCCGCTCTCCACGGCCTCGTCGTGCCCCAGTCCCGGCTCCATCTCCGCCCCGGACAGCGCCAGCACCGCCGGCGGCGGGCACTCCTCCAGACCGGCACTCAGTGCCGACGCCAAGGCGCCCACAACGCCGGGACTCTCTCCGAGCCCCGGACAGCTGGGACTGTCGGAGACCGCCGCGCCGTTGAACGCCAGCTTGAGCGCCACCACTCTCTCCGGCTCGGGCCTGCCAGCTCATCCGAGCGTGGGGCAAAGCCTGTCTCACGCCTTGCCGGGCTCAGTTTCTTTCCCCACCCGGCTCGCCGCGCTCCAGGCACAGCAACAGAAGCAGCAGCATCTCATCCCCACCGCACAGGCTGCGCATCTGCCTCCAGTCGGTGGAGTGGTGGGTTCTTCCGTCGCCGCCTCTTCTTCTTCCTCCGCCTCGTCGGGTGACACCAGTGGCT